TCTGGCTCTGCAAGGATTCCTAGGGTGTGGAAACCACCAGGAGAAAGGAAGTGTGGGCAGGGAATGTTCCTGCTTTGTTTACCAACATGGAGATGAGAAGAGGGCAAACAGAAGCAGGGACAGGAGGGCTTCTCCACTCAGGGGATTGTGTAAAGATGTCACTGTTCCCAACGTCTTGGCTAGTGATAGTTCCAACCGTGTTTGTTTTGCTCAGAAACAACATAGTCATGCTTTTCAAAAATTTTGTTTTATTTTTAGATCATTGCCTTACAGGGCTGATCAAAGAAATTCATGTCAAATCTCTATAGTTGCATCTGAAGGAAATGTCAGAAAGTCATGTCTGGTGAGGTGAGGTGAGGACAGGATGTCAGAAAGAGGGAAGGGAGAGAAGAAACCTTTCCCCGTAAGTTACAGTCTTAATTGGTTCAGTTGACCTTTTTTGAAGACCAACTATTTACAAGATTCCGACCCAGGTGCCTGGGATACAAATCTGCATAATACTGAGTCCCCTTTCTCCTGAAGGTATCAGTCTATTGAGGAACAGATAAATAAATGAGGAAAAATGAGAAGTGCAAGTAACCGTGATACAGTGTGACTGGCACTCCTTATCTATGGGTTCCCCGTCCATGGATTCATCAACTGCAGATCAGAAATATTGAGGGAAAATCCGCATCAGAACTGAACATGTACAGACTCTTTCTTGTTTAAATTCCTTAAACAACCGAGTTTAACAAATGCTTACACAGCAATTACATTGCACTAGGTAGCAAAAGTCATCTAGAGATGATATAAAGTAAATGGGAGGATGTTCATAGGCCATTTGCAAATACCGTGCCATTCTATAGAAGGGACTGGAGCGGCCATAGATTTTTGGTATCCAAGGGTAGGGGGTCTTTGAAGCAGTCCCCAGTAGATACTAAGAGGACAACAGTGTGGTCTCAGGGAGTCAAGGGCACAGCAGAGGAGGAGCATGTATTCAAATTGAATGGAGGATACTGCATCCAAGAAAGTGTACTGGAGACAGACTGATGAATGAAGATAGTGTCTTCTTGGAGAGGCTGGGGGATGGCATTCCAGTTACAGGGAACACTGCTTCTCGCACACAGTATCACCCATCACCGCCGCCAGCAGAAGCTGAGAACTCCAGACAAGAAGAAGGAGAAAGTTGTTAGCACATTAGGTCTCAGGGAATGAGGCATTGATTCAATCCAGGGAGATCAGCAGAGGCGTGGAGAAGCCAGCACGTCCCTGTGCAGGAGGCAGCATGCAGACCCTGGAGATCGGAAAGCAGGACGCGGGGAGAAAGCAGCTCTGATCCCAGAAGAAAGGCCACTTTCATTGCTACTTCAGTCCGTGTGTGCATAAAGGAAACCCTTTCTGGAAGATAGAAGTCCCAGGCAAATATTCAGAAGTATGTGAGTGATATCCTCTCTTCAGCTACCTGAAAGGGCTGTGTGGGCTAATGTAAGTGTTAAAGTAGCTATACGTTCAAAGAAATCAGCTGCAACATTTTTAGAGTCATAAATAAGATGATCAAGAGTAGGGAAAATGTTTTTTAAAAATGTGGTACAGCGAGGCCATTACATAGCCCATGGAAAGTGATAATTCTAGAAACTGCAGTTTCATGATAAATTCTTCTTAAAAAATAAAAATACAAAGATACAGGAAAAATATTCAAATGGAAAATGCTCAACTGCTAGTAATCTTGCGGGTATTCTCCATTTTCTATGTTTCACACAGCAGTCTTATATCACTTTTCTAATGATTGTTTTTAAATACAAAAGGCTATAGTTGAATTGCATGTCCTGATTAAGGATGCGGCATAAACTACTCTAAATAAATAATGACCCGGTACCTGTGTTTGTTTCTGCTGTTTCAGATCCAGTTTTCTTCTGAATTGAATTTCAGTTTGTGCAGTTTGCTTGTTAAGTCTGTCCTCGGTCCTCCCCATGCCCACACCCCTCCTTGCTCCCTGGATCTGTGGGATGTATTGTGATGTCTGTCCACTAATTTTGCTGTGACTGGGGCTGGTGTCTGGTTGGTGATTCATGTTTGTTCCAAAGTTGTGCATCTGTGTTAGTTGCTTTGGAACAGTGCCCCAGGGAATATGAAAGGCCACTTGTCTCACTCAGACGGCTCCTTAGCCCCCAAGGATTATTCCCTGGCTTCTTCTGAGTACCAGCAGGCTCTCCTGTGAGTTTCAGCAGGGTAAGCAAGAATGAAAACAAAATCAAAGAGGAGCAACATAGGGAGAGCCTGGGTGCCTGGTGTAGTCTGAATTCATGTAGCAGGAGTGAACTTCCCAGACACTAACACCATGGACCCACGCAGGCCAAGGGCACTCCCCTTCAGGGTAATGGTATGTGCACTGACCTCCGGCCCACAAGGAACATCTCTAGCTGAAAACCCTCAATGGAAAAGTTTCTAAGAAATTTCTGGGCATACCCTCTTGGCACCTCTTCTAAGATTTTAGCACAGATGCACACAGTGACAGGCATAACATTTATGACTTCTTCCATATGAACACTGACCAACGCAGGGGTCTCACGCCACAGTGCTGGAACCTTTGTAGACAGGAGCCTTTCAGCTAGTGGATCTCTGGCAAGTCTGACTGACCCTCGAGGGCCTGGGGCAGCAGCTGGATGCCAACTGTTGAAAAGGTTTTAACATCTGTCCAGATGCATACCAGTTGAGCAACACATGAATACACGTGAAATGTAAAGGCTTCTTCTCACTGCTGGACTTAGTGTACTCCCATCTCCACCTTGTTCAGAAGCTTGCATTTTTTTGTCTTTAGGAAGCGGTCAGAGTCAGAATCAGGACTTACTGGTTCTACAGGATAAAGGTGCCATAAAAGAGTTCTTATCCACAAGGGAGATCTCATGGTTTGCTGAACAACTAGTACAGGTCTCTCCCAAGAGAAGTTTGCAAGCTTGCTTCATTATGTCTTCATTTGTTGCAATGTCTGTGGCTTACAACAGAGCTCCTCTTCCAGGCAGCCTGGCAAGCAGGGTGGTATGGATGAGTGACTGCTTGCCTCACTGCCCGTGTGCCGTGTATGAAAGGCAGCCCATCCCCGACGATCTGAGAAAACCCATCTGCCATATCTTGAAAGCCCAAATACATACTGGGCTGCTGCGGTTCTTCCTGGTCTGTTATCCAGAGATTCTCACTCGCTGCTTCTTAACAGACACCTGGAGTTTGGGGGTTGTCTGGGAGCAGCTCCTCAGAAGGATCTCTGGGAAAACATTATAACCCTGTATTCTGTCATTTCTTCCTCTCCTGTTTCAAGGAAACCAACAGCTTCAAGGCAATTTGCTGCCTCCCCTATCTTCATTCAAGATAGCAGCCACCTTCTTGCAGTCTCATTGACTCTTTACATACCAACCACAATTTGTGTTTGGATGCAGAGAATGGGGGGAAATTTTACTCCGTTATCCTATGGGCTGTTCCAGAACCCTGTGGTTAGGGAAATCTGAGGTTGTAAAGAAGTGAATTGGAAGACTTGAGTCTTTAGATTCTTGTTCCACAAGTTACTAGCCTGTGACTTTAAGCAAGATATCTACATCTCTCTAAGTCTCATTTACCACAAAGGTAGAGTGGTATCTTACTGTATACTTCAAAGGGTCAGGAGTAAGTTGAATGATACAAAGGCGTATCAGTTGTTCATATAAAATGGAATTATGTTTATTTTTGTTCCAAAAATTTTTAAATCCAGGCATAGTTTTTTCATAATATGTGTTTTGTTGAACTTTTTGAAAACTACTTATATGCATGGATTTAAAAATCTGAGGCACCCAAGTTAATTTAACTTTTAATTTCATTTTCTATGAGCTTTTTGAAATATTTCTTATATCAGAAAACATTGTATGAACTGAAGAAATATCAGGAAAATCCATCTGAAGATAGCAGTAAGAACTACTGGAAGAAAAGAACAAAGAATGAAGAAATACATGATGGCAGCTGGATGAGTGTAAAGGAAGCCCACTGTTGTGGTCTGACTTAGAAAAGTAGCCCTAGCCCTGTACCCTTTTTGCACAATCTCTGCAAAGCTTTACCTGGGCAGCCGTAAGTGTCTACAGAAATACTAGGCAAGACAGTAACTATCAATCTGAGCCTGAGGGAGGTAGTATGGGTGCAGGCAAAAATGCATTTGGAATGATGAAGGAGAGTGTGGGAAAGACACAGTGGCTATGGTAGTTCCAGGATAGGAAGAGAGCTAACGACAGGCAGAATCTCTGCTACACCCACCTGCATATTTATTGGGTAGAACTTTCTTAAGAATCCTAGGCTAGTAAGCACTTTTGAGAGTGAGAGAGAGTGATCAGGACTATCAATAGTGCAGCTCTGGAGGTGCCGCTGAGTGCATCCTCCAGAGACCAATCTCTGCAGTCCTGGGGAGTAATTAGGTGGTGTTGTCAGATCAATTCAGTCATTTGCTGTGTTTGAACCTGCACATGAATGTGAATGCTCAGGCTGCACCTCTCACCTAATCTGCCAGTGGAGGTTCTCAGGATAACACTGTCCCCAAAACATCTGGGGTGTGCATTTGTGTCTTTAATGAGACTGTGGTCTTTATTAATGGCAGAAAGAAGTCTTCCCACTAGGAAGACCCATTCAGGGACTGACAGTGAACGCTGTGCTAGATACTGGAGTTTCTTCTTATCACCAATTGTTTTACAATTATCTCTTATTCCAAATTGGTCGAAGTTGCTCTTATTCCTGAAAGGCCATCGGGGTCTGTCCCTGGCTTCAAATTCGGGCTCCACTATTTGCTAATGGTAGACTTAGCTGGATGACTGAACTTCGAGGGGACTAGTTTCCTCCAGACAAAATGAAAACAATAGCAACTATCACTCAGAGCTCTTTTGGGGGCCAGAATTTTCCACAAAGTGGGAAGTTTTCTGTCCTTGTTACGTGTGGGTTCTCAAAGCATGTTAGATGTTGATGTCCTTTTTGGTAGTTCTCCTGTGACCAGAGTTCCCTGCTTTCTTTTTAAGCTTTGACGTGGAAAATGGCCCTTCTGCAGGCCGGAGCCCGCTTGACCCCCAGGCTGGCTCTTCCTCTGGGCTGGTGCTTCACGCCACCTTTCCCGGGCACAGCCAGCGCAGAGAGTCCTTTCTCTACAGATCAGACAGCGACTATGACTTGTCACCAAAGGCAATGTCGAGAAACTCCTCACTTCCAAGCGAACAGTAAGTACAAGCTTGTCTCACACTTACCTCATCTTTAATCCTGTTTCACCAACAGTGCCAGCGTTCTCCTTTCACCTGTACAAAGGAGGGAGAGAAAAATGAACACAAAGAGAGGTGACAGTGATGTCCATCTCAAGGGTGTTAATGCTCTATAGCATGAGCGGTATGTAGCCAGGGTCGACAAGGCCATGAGAAACCCCAGGCACAGTGTCCAGTTTATATGTTATTGAATCCTGAAAAAATTCATTTTCTAAACTGCTGAATCATTGTATGAGATGAGAACATCAACGCTTTTTGCAAATCACACTTGAATATGGGGCTGCATGCATGGTTTGCCTGGGACTCCAGCAAGGAAGAAGAATGGTGGCTGGTTCCACGCATACCCTCCCAGTGGCCATTGCTCAATGACATTTAGTAAACTGCCATCCAGTCACATGCCTGTGTCTGTTCTCAGGAACATTCACACAATGCCCACTTGTTGCCCAGATTGTGGTGAGACACAACACCCTCCACCACCCGATTGAGCACAGCTGATGTTTTTGTTTTGCTGCTATTAATTGTAGATCTCTATTTCAGGAGCAATGACTGGGTGGTGTCGCCTATTTAGTAAATTTCTGAAACTGAATAAAACTGGATACTGAAAGTCATGTCTTAAAAAGGGTTCTGGGCATGCATACAATTGTATTTACCATCATATGTTACAAAAATATCAGTAGCTCCCTAAAGTGTCCAGCCTGGAAAATTCCACTGGGTTCTGTTCCATTTTTGGAAAAGAAGCCAAAACAGTTCACCCTCTTGTGAAAAGGGCAGGGGACATTTTAAAGCTACCAGTAAGGGGGCCGGTGCTGTGGTGCAGCAGGTTAACGCCCTGGCCTGAAGCACCAGCATCCCATATGGGCGCCGGTTCAAGACCCAGCTGCTCCACTTCCTCTCCAGCTCTCTGCTGTGGCCTGGGACAATGGTGGAAGATGGCCCAAGTCCTTGAGCCCCTTCACCCACATGGGAGACCTGGAGGAATTTCCTGGCTCCTGGCTTCAGATTGGCGCAGCTCTGGGCATTGCAACCATCTGAGGAATGAACCAGTGGATGGAAGACCTCTCTCTCTCTCTGCCTCTCCTCTCTGTGTAACTCTGACTTTCAAATAAATAAATAAATCTTTAAATAAAAAAAAAATAGTAAGAAAACATCACTGAGGGTATATCTGTCAACCAGCCAATTTTTATAGAAACCCCTGACCTACAATATCTCAATCACCATGTGGGCCAAAATTCACTTTTTTTTCTCATTTGGCAAGTGTTTACTGAGGCTCTGCTATGTTTCTTTAAAAAAAAAGCTTTATTTATTTTTTTAATTTATTTGAAAGTGTTACAGAAAGGAGGAGGCAGAGGCAAAGAGAGAAAAATTTTCTATCTGCTGGTTCACTCCCCAAATTGTTGCAACGGCCGCTGCTGATCCAGACTGAAGCCAGGAGCCAAGAGCTTTATCTGGGTCTCCCATGTGGGTACAGGGGCCTAAGGACCTGGGTCATTCTCTACTGCTTTCCCAGGTACATTAGCAAGGAGCTGGATGGGAATTGGAGCAGCCAGGACTTGAACCAGAACCAATATGGGATGCTAGTGCCGCAGAAGGCAGCTTAACCCACTGTGCCACAGTGCTGGCCCCTCTCCTATGTTTTTTATAGTGTGCCAGACTCTGCAGAAAAAAAAGATGAACAAAAGAGTGGAAAAATCACATATCAGTTAAAACCCAATCTCATTCTTTAAAAGTTTCCATGTGCTCAGCACGAGGATAGCGGTAAGATGAACATATATGTACAACTAACTCTACAAAGTAGAAGGAAACTAAGAAAAAGAGCACTTAACATGAGGCTGGATCCACTCATGCATGTTATCTCTGTTAATCTGCACAACAACCCCAGCCAGTGTGTGCCATTACTACCCCCACACTTTAGACGATGAAATTGGAACTCTGATTGAGAAACTTGCTTCTACCATGAGCATATAGCATGTTAAATCCCGGATGTAGCTAACAATGATGTGTTAGTCCATTTATTGTTGCTATAAGAAAGTACCCAATGCTGGTTATTTTGTAAAGCAAAGAGGTTTATTTGACACATAATTCTGTTACTGGCTGGTCCAAACAGCCTGGTGCCAGCCCACTGGCTACATCTTAACATGGTAGACAAACAGAAAGGGAGCTAGGTGGGGCCAGGTGCATGGAGTGACCTTGCTTTATCAAAACCCATTCTCAAAGAGTTAGCCCCACCAGACCTACCTACATCCCTTCTGTCGGTAGCACCCTGTTGACAAGTTCCCCACCTTCTAGAGAGTCTGCTGCCTCTCCCATCATCACACTGGGTGTGTGTACTTTCAGCAGATGCACTCTTGGAGGACACAACAAAACTATGACAAAACCATACCATTGACCATATTAAAATCCTGTGGACTCCTTTAGCCTCTGCTCTTCAAACTGCAAAGTAGCATCTTTCCTACCAAGGAAGAAAATGGATGGATGCAGAGAGGAGATATCTAAGACTAGTGGAAAGGTAGCCCTTTTGCCATAGATCATGTAAGGACTGGCAGTTTCTGACTAACATTTGACAATGAATGTAGTAGGAATTCTCTCCTGCATCGAGATAAAAACCTTTCTAGACTTCATCATGGGGGAACATGGGGAATGTGGTGAGCTCAAAGTAATCAAAGCTTCATACTCACAATGTTACAGACAAAAGACTAGTTTTGGGAACCAGTTATTTACTAAATTAATTTACTAAATTAATTCTTCAATGAATAGTTCTCCGAACACATGCCAAACAGTGTGATGAGTCTTGGGGTCATTTGCAGTCTTTACAGAAGTCTCTAACCTAAATCCACATTAAATTCTGAAGATTCATTACTTGGAATCACAAGATTATAGAAATTTCCACTGTGAAAAGACCTTAAATATCACAATTCAACTCAATCTACAGCTGTTGAAACAAACATGGAGTTCTGGACGACTCCATATCCAATATCCATGGCAGTAGTGATTTACTGACTTCTCAGTGTTACTGACCAGCAAAATTTCCCCCCAGTCTTAGAACCCATGGTGTTGCCAACCTTAAATTTAGGCAGGCAAGGGTAATATAAATGTAAATTATTTAGTATCATTTTCAATTTTAAAGGATAAGGACTTTTAAGAAAAAATAGAAAAAGTAGAAAGAGTATACTTTCATGCTATAATAGCGTTTTCCAAGAAAACAGTTGACAACCTAATAATATCACCCTATCAGAAATACTGATAAATGAATATATTGAAACCCTTGCATGAATAAAAATAGTGCAAAATTTTGCTTTGTCAATGTTTCAACTTTGCAATAAAAATTTTTATGTATTTGTTGGTTTAGGAATTTATATTGTCAACACAACAAAAGGCAGAGTTTGAATAATTATCCAAGTCTCTGGTATTTCATTTAATAGGACCATATTTGAAAATCCATTTTCACACAGGCATCTGGATCTCAACTGAAGTAATGCTCCTCTAGCTGTTTCACCTGATGGTTACTTTTCAGGATGAACTGAAATGCAAAGAGGAACAGTGGCCCTCAAGTTTCTCACTGCTTCTCCTACCTCTTCCTGTCAGAAAGAAGGGTGGTGATAAACCAGGAGTCTTCTGTGAAGGCCCTTGTGTGGGAGCTCTGAAAGCCTGCTAGGAGCCCCTTATAGAGAAGTCATTAATTTATATAAAATCAGGAACCCTTGTGAAATTCCAGTGCATTAAATTCTAGTCATAGAAGACACTTCTATTCATAAAATTTCATAAAATGTCATAAAATTTCTGTCTAAATGCCTTCAGAAGACTAAGAGGGAAAAAAAGAGAATAAGTGAAAAATATAAAAGGAAAAATATAAAATTAAAAATGGATAGGGGCCAGTGTTGTGCTATAGCAGGTAAAGCCTCCCCCTAAAATATCAGCATCCTACAAGGGTGCTAGTTCATTCTCTGCTGCTCCACCTCCCATCCAGCTCCCTGCTGGGGGTCTGGGAAATGCAGTGGAGGATGGCCCATGTGCTTGGGCCCCTGCCACCCAGGTGGGAGACCCAGGTGAATCATGTGGCTCCTGTTGGCAGCCTGGCTCAGCCCTGGCAGTTGTGGCCACTTGGCTTTGTCTTTCAGCAATAAAGGAGAGACCAAAATAAGGTTTTCTAGTAAAGCACAACAATATTATCACTAGGTCCCCAAAGGAAATTTTGGATACTTCCCCAGATGTGGCAATAGTCTGCTGGTTTTCCGCAGTGCCTTTCTTGTCATCATCTCTCATGCAATGCCTTTGCAGATTGAGGTACAGAGATTTCCCAAAGAGTACATAATGTTCTGCAAACAGATGAGATCAGTGTTATTGCCCCCAAACTGTAGCAGGAACCACTCTGGGCAGGATGGAGTTTTGATCATCAGCCTGCAAGTCACAAGATTTTCTATATTCATTGGGTCATCCCATTGGCAACACAGTACACAGACAAGAAGGTTTGTAAACCTGCCATTTACATGAGGATTAAGTGGTCTCTTGAGACAGCTGTCAAGGGAAATGAGAACTTGGAATCGTCCCCACTGAAATTTAAGCCATGTTTAGTGATGGTTCACCAGAACGTGCAGTGTGCTGTCTAAAGCTTGCCTTAGCCTTGTTGTCACCACAGTTACTAGCACCAAGATTTTCCTTTATCATCTCTAAATGATCTATAAGCAAGTCAGACATTTATTGGGCATTTCCTATGGAGATGTACTACCCAAAGTAGTATATATTGCTTTAATTCAAAGTCCTTGATAGTATTTTAATTAATTTACTCTCCATATACCCAGTGTGGTAGGCATTATGATTATCTTTTAAAAATCAGACACTGGGGGGACTGGTGCCGTGGCGCACTAGATTAATCCTCCACCTGCGACATTGGCATCCAATATGGGTGCAGGTTCTGGTCCTGGTAGCTCCTCTTCCAGTCCAGCTCTCTGCTGTGTCCTGGGAAA